CAGGTGAGTGTGCGTCTGTCTCTCCCGGACTGTTACCTGTGCAGGTGAGTGTGCGTCTGTCTCTCCCGGACTGTTACCTGCACAGGTGAGTGTGCGTCTGTCTCTCCCAGACTGTTAGCTGTACAGGTGAGTGTGTGCCTGTCTCTCCCGGGCTGTTAGCTGTACAGGTGAGTGTGCGTCTGTCTCCCCTGGACTGTTACCTGTACAGGTGAGTGTGCGTGTCTGTCTCTCCCGGGCTGTTAGCTGTACAGGTGACTGTCCGTCTGTCTCTTCCGGACTGTTACCTGTACAGGTGAGTGTGCGTCTGTCTCTCCTGGACTGTTACCTGTACAGGTGAGTGTGCGTCTGTTTCTCCTGGACTGTTACCTGTGCAGGTGAGTGTGCGTCTGTCTCACCTGGACTGTTAGCTGTACAGGTGAGTGTGTGTGTATCTCTCCCAGACTGTTACCTGTGCAGGTGAGTGTGCGTCTGTCTCTCCCAGACTGTTACCTGTGCAGGTGAGTGTGCGTCTGTCTCTCCTGGACTGTTACCTGTGCAGGTGAGTGTGCATCTGTCTCTCCTGGACTGTTAGCTGTACAGATGAGTGTGCGTCTGTCTCTCCTGGACTGTTAGCTGTACAGGTGAGTGTGCGTCTGTCTCTCCTGGACTGTTACCTATACAGGTGAGTGTGCGTCTGTCTCTCCCGGACTGTTACCTGTACAGGTGAGTGTGTGTGTCTCTCTCCCGGGCTGTTAGTTGTACAGGTGAGTGTGCGTCTGTCTCTCCTGGACTGTTAGCTGTACAGGTGAGTGTGTGTCTGTCTGTCTCGGACTGTTACCTGTACAGGTGAGTGTGTGTGTATCTCTCCCGGGCTGTTAGCTGTACAGGTGAGTGTGCGTCTGTCTCTCCTGGACTGTTAGCTGTACAGGTGAGTGTGCGTATCTGTGAGACCCGAACTTGACCTGTGTCCTTGTATTAGTAGTTCAGCGGTAAAACTTTGGGGATTTACCTCCCCTTAGCTCGGATGGGAGGTGGGTGGGGGGATGGCCTGCGTGATGTGACGTCGGATTGTAACTTGCTGGTTGAAATTGCCATTGACCTTCTGTTTTCTCATGGCGGGGGGTGCGTGTTGTGGTGCTGGATTCTGCAGGACCAAGGAAGGCGTGGAGGCTGTTTTGCAGGATCAGCGATATTTCCTGAACACGAGCGGGACACTCCGCATCGAAGATGCTCGCAAGTCAGATGGCGGAGTCTTCACCTGCAATGCCTCAAACACAGTCGGAACAGACAGCATTACCGGCACCCTCACTGTGAAAAGTAAGGCTGACGGAGAGAGAGATTTTTAATCAGGAAGGGATTGAGGGGTTATATTTGAATGTGAGAGAGAGATGTTTAATCAGGAAGGGGGATCGAGGGGTTATATTCGAGGCTGAGAGAGAGAGAGATGTTTAATCAGGAAGGGGGATCGAGGGGTTATATTCGAGGCTGAGAGAGAGAGAGAGAGATGTTTAATCAGGAAGGGGGATCGAGGGGTTATATTCGATGCTGAGAGAGAGAAATGTTTAAACAGGAAGGGGGATCGAGGGGTTATATTCGAGGCTGAGAGAGAAAGATGTTTAATCAGGAAGCAGGATCGAGGGGTTATATTCGAGGCTGAGAGAGAGATTTAATCGGGAAGGGAAATCGAGGGGTTATATTCGAGGCTGAGAGAGAGATGTTTAATCAGGAAGGGGAATCGAGAGGTTATATTCGAGGCTGAGAGGCAGAGAGAGATTTAATCAGGAAGGGGGATCGAGGGGTTATATTTGAATGTGAGAGAGAGATGTTTAATCAGGAAGGGAAATCAAGGGGTTATATTTGAGGCTGAGAGAGATTTTTAATCAGGAAGGGGGAATCAAGGAGAAAAGGCTGGAAAGTGGAGTTAAGGGTGATCTGCAATCTCATTGAATAGCAGGCAGACCTGATGAGCTGAATGGCCTCATTCCACTCCAGCTTCTCACAATGTGTGGTCTGACAAGTGCCTGGCATGGTTCCAGCAAGACCATTCTCTTTTGAGTCTAGTCATGAATGGGAATTTATACGGGCAGGAGAGGTCAAATTCGAAGATTATAAATTAGCATCTCACGTCCCATTTCCGCACCCCCTCTTGCTCTCTCTCTCTCTTTGTGATTTTCTCTCTCTCTGTGTCTCTTTCTCCCTCTGTGTCTCTCTCTCTCTGTCTCTGTCCCTGTCTCTCTGTCCCTGTCTCTCTCTCTCCCTGTCTCTGTTTCTCCCTCTCCCTGTCTCTGCCTCTCTCTCTCTTTGTCTGTTTCTCTCTCTGTGTCTGTCTCTCTCTCTCTGTCTCTTTCTCTGTGTCTCTCTGTCCCTCTCTCTGTACGTCTCTCTCTGTCTCGCTCTCTTTCTCTTTGTGTCTCTGTGTGTATGTGTCCCTCTCTCTCTGTCTCCTCTTTCTCTGCTCATCTCTCTCTGCCTCTCTCTGTTTCTTTGCTCCTCTCTCTCTCTGCCCTTCGCTCTCCCTCCCTCTGACTCTCTCTCTGCCCCTCGCTCTCCCTCTGTCTCATCCCTTGCTCTCACTACCAGAGCTGGCTGAGTTTCCCCAGTGCTATCTGTGGTTAGTTTCAGATCTCCGTGCATTGCTTTTAATCACGAAAGGGTTTCCTGGAGCTGAACGACAAGGGAGGGCAGGGGATGGGGAGGTGGGGGCTGGTGATTGGGAGGTGGTGGCATAATGCTGGAGAAACCCACTGTGGTCTGGAATAGAAACAGAAAACAGGAGTGGGCCATTCAGCCCCGTGAGACTGTACTGTCATTCAGTAGGAATATGGCAGATCATCCAACTCACTCCTTGTTCGAGACAACAAGGTGCAGGGCTGGATGAACACAGCAGGCCAAGCAGC